ATATGGTTATTTGATATTTGTAAGTGACGTAGGCAGTTTCTTTTTTTATTATTAGTATTATTAATTGTGAAATATATAATTTAGACAAATTATATATATCCAATGCTAGAGAAATTAAAAGTAAATACATTAATTCCTTTTATGTTTCTGTTTTGCTTTATTATTGGCTAATATATAATATAAAGCAAATATTTTCTTTCTTATTTTTCTTGATCTAACTAAAATAAGGAAATTTTAATTTCTTTTTCTTCATTTTCTGTTCTTTCAAATTTTCCACTAAAATTTCCTTTACTTTGTATTTTCCTTGAAACAAAGTAAATCTTTCATTTCAAATTTCTTAATGATTTTTTTTAATGAAGCCTGGACGTATACTTATATATATATATATATATATATATATATATAAGAAACAATATGTACATTATATTTGTGAAACTTATTTGTGGTGTGTATGTATGTGAATGATCTTTTTATTTGATAAAACAAATGAAAATTATAAACTATTTGTAATAATGATTTATTCCATACAATAAATTTTTTATGGCAATAAATCTCATTTTAGAATCTAACGTATACTAAACCATTAATTTTCTGATTTAATATTTTTTTTCAAATTAGAATGCAACCTTTTGTTTTATTGATCATTTAAAAATTTTGATGAAAATTTTTAACGTATTCCCCTATGTGGCAACTGCTAATTCCATTAACGGGAATCACCAACTTTTTCAACAGTTTCAGTTAAATGAATAAAATTGAAAAGGTTGTGTCGTAATTTGAAAAAAAATAGATTGAATCCTGAAATAAAAAATTTAATGAATGTTTGATTATTAAAAAAGCATTTAATCATTTTTAAAAAACAAAATGAACCTACTTCAATTCTTTGATAAAAAGACGCATTTGCTCTCACAGTTAAGTCGAATGTTTAGATGCATCTTTCCACTAATTTTTAATTTGTTTTATGTTAAATGCCAATCATAAAACCTGACATGATATTAAAATAAAATGTGTGATTAATTTGTACATTGTAAAACTTTTTTAATTTTACATATTTTTTAATTATTGATTTCAATAAATTTAAAAATAAGATTAAATTATTTTTTTATTTTTACTTGTCTCTTTCTTCTCTTAAATCTATTAAAATTAAGAGTTAAAAAATATAAATTTCAAACATATCTCATGCTCATATATTATATTTATATATATAATTTATATATATATGAAAGATTCTATTATTGTTTCTTTTTTAGTTTTCTTCGTTATACTAATTAATTATGGAAAATTGCTAATGATATATCTATAAATAAAAAATTATAGTTAATAAATTATTTTTTAAAATATTATAAAAACAATGCATTTTATAATTATAAGTGACCATTAAAAGGTTTTGCCCAAAATACTTCAATAACTTTCGAAAAAAAAAAGTTTGATTCAATAATTACACCAATTAATGAATGAAGCGCTGGACAAGAAAATGTGGAAATTGAGTTAGTTTATTTTTTAGTATTGATTTGATGCCTAGAATGATATATAAATTTTTATATATTATCAATTAATCAAGAAATGTAATTTTAATAATGAATAAATATAAAATTTTACAAGTTTTTAATAAATACATTAAAATTTATATTTAAAATTTTTATTAATTAAATAATATTATCTAATTTATCAATAATATATAAATTTATACATTAATAATAAAAAAATTATTTTATTATTATTAAATTCCATTAACTACAGCTGGCATGAAGAAATTTTAAACGCGTGTGGCTACCGCCTTACAAGAAAATTCTTCATGGAAAGTACGCAGAAACTACGATGATGGAAACGCAACCGTCCATGTGTAGACTATAACATCACATATTGCAATATTTTGAGAGGAAAGGACACTCTACCGTGACTTTGGTGTCAATCCTACCCAGCAAGTCAGTCACCCTCCCTAGAGTTTTCCACCCAAAAATGGGGCTGGGAAGAAATCCAACTTATCCCAGAAATACAATTAGAATTCTTTTTCTTTTAATGTATAAATCAACAATTATGATATCACAATGCCAAAAGATAAAATAATTCTAACAATTATAAATCAATCAAAACCAATTACAAATAACGATGGCAATAGATAAACAATTTTTGCGCTAATCAAACGTTTCAAATCAAAGAGTAAAAATCAAGGAATTTGAGTCCACTTAAAAACTTGTGTAATAAAATGAGTGCAAAACACTATTTTCAACCTCTACAATGAACGTATTACTTGATTATAACTATCAAGAAATGATTCTAATAAATAAAAAAAAAAAGTTTGGAGGTTGCTGTTTGGACATTAAATCCGAAATTACAGTGTAAGTAAAAACAATCCAATAGCTTAAAATTAACATTTATGAGTCTTTTATCTACTTAAAAAATTAAACGTCGAAATAACGAAAGACCCTTCTTTTGTTGACTTGATCTAAGCAATGCAAAAGTCCTCTTTTCTTAAATTCTTATGGAAATTAAGCATGCTGAAATTGTGACAGCAAAGACAAAAAGAGTTTCAACCATAACAATAATACATCAACAATGCATTATTTTAAGGAGAACTTGACTTTGGCGTCAACCCTAAAACAAATCCTCCCTTGAGTTTGAATTGCATTTTATTTTGATGATATATTAGTGCCCTTTTATCTACATTTTGAAACCGATATCCTTGATTATTTTCCAAGAAATTAAATTCAAACAAAAAAGATTGAAAATGAAATGTTTTGATTTATCACAACGTTTTCAATTGTAAATTAAATTTAATGTTGACTTCTAAGATTGAAAATGAAATGTTTTGATTTATCACAACGTTTTCAATTGTAAATTAAATTTAATGTTGACTTCTAAGATTGAAAATGAAATGTTTTGATTTATCACAACGTTTTCAATTATAAATTAAATTTGTTATTGACTTTTATGTCTTACAATCTCTTTCAGAAATGACCTAAGCTAATTTCCAATTGGTTCCCATTCATTTTTTCTTCATTATCCGAGCTAATTTCCAATTGGTTCCGTTCATATTTTCTTCTTCATTGAGTCATTTCTTATGAAGGCAGCAGCATTGGTTTTATATCAAATTAAAAACTCCTAGGCATTGGTTTTGTATTTTACATCATTGGTTTAAGTCATGACAACCCAATAATTCATTGGACGGAGTTATATTGAAAAATGTAAATGACTGCTAATATCAAAATTACCAAGCAAACCAAGTTATTTTTAGTCATCAAAGTGTTTTACAAGACAATCCATTTACACAAGAAAAAAAACATATATGTACAATATTATTATATCCACAAAGAGGAATTGGGAACTTTATTTATCAATGACGTATGCCTGAGACCATGGTTGAGTAGGCAAATTCATTCACCTTCGCAGATCCATAGAAACAAGAGATTTAATTTTCAAAAAGGAAATGGTCTGCCTTTGATTCAGTAACCCCACATCAAATTTGATTCTTAAGCATATTTTCCAATTGTGTGTTGAATATACGTGCAGATAGACTTTTCTAAGATGATCATCTTAGAAATTAAAGAAGCAGCTTTGAAGTGGAGCAATTTGTTGAACAACTTAGCCAGCAAGATATCAATCCCTTAGTGCCTGCTCTGGGTTGTGAGTTGTCCCCTTCCCGTCTTTTTAATACTCTCACAAACTCATCTGAGCTTAAATTCCCATCATGATTTGCATCAAACACATGGAATATTATGTCAACCACATTGTCAGTAATCGATATTTCACATACCTTCAACATTCAAAGAACATGCACGATTAGTATTGAAAATAGAGTTTATGAAAAATTATGATATTTAGGAAGCTAAAGAAAGTAAGTCGGCTAAGAATACATACTTGAGATGCAGCTCTTTGGAAATCCTTTTTCGTTAGCACACCATTCACTTTTCCATAACAAAAAATGGCCAGAGAAAAAGACTGCAATCTTTTTCGTAGCTCTGCAAAATTTTTGAATTCTTCAAATGTAATCCGTATGTCTCTAAGATGTGATTCATTGTTAAGTTCATCAACGCGATCAAGCAGCTTGTTTATGTGGCTAATATCAGCCGAGGCAACCAATGACAATGCAAAATCTTTAGCTGATATTGTACCATGTGATTTGCAGTCATAATGAGCAAACTCCAACTTCAAAATCTACAAAATTCAAAGATAGAATTTAGTTTCTCCCAAGTATAAGTCAAAGTGAAGAGAAAAAGCGTACTAAGAACTTGAGATCATCTGGAAAACGTATGGTGCAATAATGTTCCTAGGCCTAATCTGGACCAAAATCAAGTCACTTTGATTTTAGCTTTGTATCATATCAAAGTAGACAGTAGGCATGTTACTCAAGCAGATTCTAGCTATTGGCAACTTTTTTCCCTATTTAAGGAATGAAACAAGGAAAAACTACATAAAAAAAAATTGCGAAAGAATCAGATACTGATTAACGGTGAAATTACCAAAGAGAATAGGATATAATTTTTGAGATAGAGGAAAGCAACAACAAATCACATACTTCATCATGTAAATCTCGTAAAAACTGGACAAATGTGTCATGCTTTAGACATGTCTTGCCATCTCTGCCGAAGAAGTACTCCACCAAGCCCCCATTCTCTACAGGTTCTGTAACTTTGAGGCCAAGTCTTCGTCCATCCCTGTGGCAAGCCCCTTGTCTATTTTGTGCTCGCATCAATGCCATCACTTTCTTGAATTCTTCCCTATCTATTTCTCTGTTAATAATAAAAATTAATATTGTGATTATTTCTTGTAAAAGTGAACATATCATCAACAAATGATCAAGTAAGAAAAGGCAAAGCATTCTGATTTTTTTTGGGTACTTGATAGAATTAACCCACCCATTATTGTTAAGGTCGAACATTCTAAAAGCCACTGAGAAGCTTGACTCAGGAATGCTAAGAAGTGTGACGAAGAAGATGTACCTGCAAGTAAGGAAAATGAAAAGAATACTTGAGGATCTTAATTTTTTAACATTCAAGAGCTTAATAGAAAGAGGAATGGATTTAGTTCATAACAGGTTCATGTAATAAACGAAAATTCATTACAGACAAGCATGAAGAGACAATTGAAACGTACTCTGGAAAAGATACGAGCCCATCATTGTTGGTATCAAAAAGCATGAAAAATTGTGGAGGGGGACAACGTAATTCCCCAGGGACCTGCTCCCCTCTTAGAAAGCCCCCTCTAACACGATTTGATTCCGATGGAGGAAATACAGGAACCAGTGCCCGCATCAAGTCTGCTGGTGTCATAAGAACTTCTCCTGCAGGAGTTCTATGGGACGCAAAGTAATCGAAAACCTGATTTATAGAAAGAGTACTTGTAAAAAAAAAAAATACGAAATGAACATGGAATGAAATGGTAAATGCTGCAGAAGGTTAACAATAGAGATTGGGTCAAAAAAATTCAATGAAAAGCCTGTCAAAAACGTGTAATTAATTCTCCTCGAATTGCACTCTCTGCGTTAAGTAGAGATTCCCATATGTTCAAAAGGTCATAGATTTAGAGGATGAGGATGGACACCAAAAGCTCAGATCCATTAGATAATACTATTTTCAAATAGCTAATTGTAATTATCCTCAGAAATTATCTCTAATCACTTGCCTAACTGAACATGTTTATTTATTACGCTGCAAAAATACGTTTCTGGAAGAGTTTTTACCTTTTCAGGAGGACTTTGCATCCGTATGCGTTTCTCATAATTGAAGAAAACTCTTCTCCTGTATCCTTCTGAAACATCAGAGGGAAAAAAAAAAAACTTGATTTCCGTAGAAAAAACTAGAAATACAATAACAGATTGTTGAAAGTTGGTGCTTCATCAATTTCCCAAGATAACCTGCAAAGAGAAACCTGGATTTTTTCTGGGGAATCGCCTCTCCAAACTGAGCATTGGCATCCGTCGCCCATGTCGCCCCACTGGGGGCATCCGCTAAAGAAACCCCGGAATGAGACAAGCAGCAAAAGCCTAAACTAGACCCAACGATCAAAACCCCAGAAGAGATTGATCTCAGTAACGACAGCAACAGTTCCTCTCGACTCTTGTTGTCACCACCAGAGCCAGACCCACCAGAAGAAGGTTTCAACAAGCTCAGTGGAGATGAACCAGAGTCCTGTGATTGGTTAAACACCGGGCGAACACTATTCGGCCGCTGATTAGCAAGCACTACTGGTTTGATTAATGGTGCGGATTTCCTGAGAGATGGCAAAGAGAACATAGTACGATTTCTCTTATTTTACGTTAAGAGATGGCAAAGGTTTGGTGGAATGGAAAACGTATAGGAGTTATAGAAAATTCGGATGATAGTACGTTGAGTACGGTCGATTTTGACCGAGAAAAAGGGCGGCTTTTTAGAGTTCTATTTAGAATACTAATATAATAGTGTGCTTTACTGTAACGGCATTTTCACTTGTAGGTTGATGCCTCGATGGTAAATTTGTTTATGGGCCGCATCGGGCTGAGCCCAAATAGTAATTCAAAAGTTTTGTTGAGGATTTAATTGGTTCGATTTGAATTTTTAAAAATTTTATTAAAATATTAAAAATATATGAAAATATAAAAAATATTATAATTTTAAATATATTTTAAAATCTGAAAATGAGATCTTATATGAATGGCAATGAAAATATCTTGAAACCTTTAGATTTTAGATTCAAATTTTATTAAATATGAATTATTTTCAATTATATGTTGATTTAATTAATTTATTTATTTATTTATGAAAAGTCCTAAAACCTTGCTCAAAATGAATTTTACTCAATTTTTATTAAAATTGACACATCGAATTAATATTTGTGCATAAATTTTTTTTTAATCTCTTTTATAAAAATTAATTACCATGTCACTTGAGACATATTCTTATGCTCCTGTTACCTCATTTGACATTATTTTGCACAAGTTCGAAGCAAAAAGCCATGAACAGCGCACAACTATGGGCTGAGCCAGGGCCCAACCACTTCCTTGAGCCCAATCCTGTGAGAGTGGACAGCAACTCAGTACAATGGGTTGTTAAAGGACCATAACCTACTCCGATTTGGTATAGTGACTGTCACTCTTTTCAGAGATTTGAGGTCAAGTTTCTAATTCTCATCCTCTTGTACTCCTACTACAAGTCGAAATATCAGGAGAAAATTACAATGCAATCTTTGAGTAGGGGCAAGAGAAATGGCAGAACAAATTTAAAGTTTCATAATAAAATCTTGAAAGATATATAGAATATTGATTATAAAAGAAAAGAATTATGGTTCTCCTACATAATTCAAAACTTTAGGAAAATACTCTAATTGTTACAAGCTCAAAAATTCATCTTCAAAATTCGGGATTCTAATTTTGAGATGAACAAAATAAATTGTTATAAAAAGAAAGTTTATTTCCGTGTTGTAATTCAAAATTTCCATATACTTACTCAAATGAAAAATAGAAAGAAAATAGTATTAGCTCGTGAACAAGTAAATTAACAAGATTGAAGACATTTTCAACCGAAAGTAACGGACTAACCTCCAAACACATCAGATCATATATTAGTGTTGTAAGATTTTTGACTTGCAAGTGAGTACAATATGGTTCCGTGTTGAATACTCCTCTCAACACGTTCATTCTCTAGGTGCACCATGTTGTAGGGACGCCCTTCTTATTGGTACTTTTTGACAGTATATGTTCAACATACAGTTGTTAAGTGCTAACACTGGTTTAGCTTGGGTGGGGAAGGGATAATCTAATCGTGAATTGATAAGCATAGTTCTTCGGACCCAAAGCCAATTTGTAAACACTGTCAAGTTCAATCCTACACCAAAATTTTTTAATTTCAGAGTTTCTCATGTTTCGGATCGCTGATGCTTGGATCCATAATTCATCTAAAATTAATCAAGTATCTATACATAATATAAAAGATGTCTCCTTCTCTCAATTAAGGGGACCAGCTCATTTTTATCTCAAAAAGTAATTTCAAGAGTAATTTTGAAATTAAAAAAATATTTTGATGAAACTTCAAGATGGGTCTAGACTATTGAACGAGAAGAAAAGTGATATAACACAAAGAAGACGAAGAAAGAGTTTCTTTCCGATTATACCGCCTTTCTTCTACAGTTTGAAAAAATCATTCCGAGAGGAAGTGAGAGATCTTCCCATTTTTTTCTTTTTTCCCATACTCTTTCTTTTCGTTTCTTCGTTTCTTCTTTCCCATTTTTTTTTTTTTTCAAAATTGGCCTAAACACACTAATTTGGCTTGCTTTTTCAACGAGAACATTTTATTTTTTTGAAATTTTCTTTTAATTTTTTTTATGTTTTTGTTTCTTTGTTGTTCTTGACAATTGTTTAATTTTGACTTTATAATTCTTTTCTTCATATTTTTATTGGTGATTTTTAAGATGACTTTAGCATATTCTTTATGTTTTTGTGATTTAGGGTTTGAAAGTTAATCTAACTAAGATTGATCATTGTATGGAATGATTGGGTTGGTTCTTGATAATTGTTTGATTTTATCTTTATAATTGTTTTCTTTTTATTTTTATTGGTAATTTTTAAATGATTTTAGTTAATTCTCTATATTTTTTTTCATTCAATGTTTGAAGATTAATCGAACTAAAACTGATTATTGCATGGAATGATTAGGTTGGTTTGTTAAAAATATTAAGATTTGAGCCCTTAAATTTTTTTTTTTAGTTTTTTTTTTAAAATTTTATTAATGAAAATTGAAGCAGGATTGATATTTTATGAGATTTCTTTTTTTTTTTTTATAATAGGAACCTTTTTCTTTTAGAAAAATCTCTATGTAATTATATAATATATAAGAATTATTTAATTTAAAGTTAATAAAGCATGAACTAACTTGCATTTTATTATGTTCAATGGTTGTTTTATTTTTCAAAATTGATTGTTTTAACTAATCTTCTTTACCTTTTTTTCTTACTTTTCTATATTGATATATGTACCTTGCTTTGTTTGTTTGTTTGTTAATATTACTACATTATTACTCATTCACTAATGTTAATATTATCTAAATATGCATTTTTTTAGGTTTACCTAATCATCTATGGATCGAATAACATTTCTATTTTAGTGTTACCTTCTTTTAAAGAACATTATTATATAATTTAATTTAAATATGAACTCAAAGAAAGGTGAACCTCTTTGTTATTTGGGTTGGATGCTTTTGTTACATTTTAATATTCAAAGCTTTGATTCTTTTATGCCCTTACTTCATTTTACTTTGCTTTCAACTATTTCATTATTGAGATGCATGTGTTCATATATACTTAATTTTGTTCAAACAAAAAAAAAGTTATTGATAGGTAGATGTATAAAAATCATTTTTGACATAATTAATTATGGAAAGCTAGGGGTAATAGCTTTAATGATGTGGTAGCATGATTTTGAACAATTAGGAACTTCATCCAATCAATGACAAAAGGATATAGGGGTTTCTTGCCTACAAATAATTCGTTTTATCTTTGTTTAAAATAGATGTGGACAAATTTATTATGTTGTTTTTTATGGTCGAAGTCAAGTGAGACACGTATTTATGGTTTAGTTATGATAAAAAGATTTTTTTGAGACAAAATGACTTTTATTAGAATCAACACTGTGGCATCTTAAACTATACAAGCAAAGTGATTTTAGTCAATTCTACATTAGCTTTCATTAGTTTGTGCAATTAAAGGTTAGTAATCACTTTAAGGGTGGCATTTACAAAGTTGCTTTTTAAATTCTTTTATATATGCTTTGGTTTCATGAATTCTAAGAATTGGTGTTTTCTTATTGCTATTTTAAATTGGTAATTTTTTAATTGTCTTTGTTAAAGATGTTTTTATAATGTTGGGATTGAATTGCTAAATTTCTTGATTTTGTTTATGCAAGGAGATTTTGAGCATAAAGAATGTTTATCAAAATGTCTCACGATGTTGTCTATCTTCATTCTTACTATTGCTTAGTTCTTGCTATTGCTTTTGCTACCACAATTAGGTGAAGTTCCATGATTTGTGAAATCTATCTTTGTTTATGTATAGGTTTATGTTCATACTTAATAATGAAAAATATAATTATTTCTTATGCACTTTTGTATTTACATGTCTTTATCTTGTGTATAGTGTAAAGATAATAAAAGTACACAATCTTTTATATATATCAAAGTACTCTTATATGTCACTAAATCATTTACATGACTGTTTGTATGATCTCCAACCTCTGAAAGGAGTTAAACATTTATCTCTATTCACTTTTAACTTTTTATCAACAACTATAAAAATATTATGGATAGTAGCAACTACAGTTTCTTAAAACCATGTAGTTTGATTATTGCTTTATTATAGTTTAGACATGGGCACAAATTCTATTTTTTTCCTTTAATATGTAGTTGCTTATTTTTTAACTTGGTTTTGATTATGTAGTTGCTTATTAATTGATGTTTGGTTATTGTGTACTTACTTTTTAATTGATTTTTTTAATATTTTTATATAATCAAGCACAAATTAGAAGTATGCCACGTTAAAAGTATCAAGATGGTGTAGTTATTAATTTATACACTATATATTATGTTGAAAGGATATCTATTACATCCTAGATTAATTAGTGTATGTAGTGTATTTTTAATTCACTATATATATTCCATACACAATCAAGATGGTATGAGTTATTAATTTATACATTTTATATTCAATTACAAATATATATTTCATAACTAGATTAATTAGTGTATGTAATGTACTTTTAATGTGCTATATATATTCCATAGACAATTAAAATTTTACTTTTAACATATTTTATCATGATTTTGCTAATTATTTCATTCATGTATACTTTGGTATGACCTAACCATAATTGTGTACTTATTAATTGTTTTTTTAACTTAAATATATACTTGCTTCTTTTTTCAATCATTTGACTTTACATTTTCCAAAGTTTGGGACAATAAAAGGTATGATATTTTTTAACCTTTTTTGTTTTTACTTGGTTGTTTTGATTATGCATAAGATCTGTGAGGTATTATAGCCACATCATTTGATAACCAGTTCAAATTTTTATAATATTTTAAGGTTACCTTATTTTGCTTTAAAAATGCCATTTTTAAGCGGTCCTTGATCTGTTTCTATGCTATTTATGGGTTGTTTACCATATTTTATATCCTTTTGATTCCTATAGGCTTCTTATTGGAGTTAGTCATGACATTTGGTGTCTATGCATATTTTGATTATGTTTTAAGAATATGTTTTGGTGAAAAAAAATTTAACTAATTCTTTATCTATTTGTATATGGTTTTATTGTATTTTACATCCTTTTAATTCCTATGAACTTTTTATTGGGAGTTGATGATAAATTCAAGTATGCACATAAATATGAGTCATTTTCTTTTTATATTAAAAACAACTTCGTTGGTTTATAAATGC